AATAACTTGCAGTTTCTGAAGTTATTGTACGATGGTAGGCCACGCCTACCTGGGAATAGAACGGGTATTGGAAATTACAGTACACTAATCATCAAAGAAAATACGCCGCATAAGTGCCACAATAAAAACTATTTTCAAGTCTCAGAACAGGTTAATTTTGGCAAGTTGCTTGTTTAGATTTAATTAATTTTTTAATTAGCAGTGTACATATGTTCCATAACTTAAAATTTTTCAATATAAATACAGTCAGTATAAGTTTTGCCGGTTTGACCTGAACATTATAAACAACAATAAGCTATCTCGGTTGATATTACATTATTGATTATTGGCGTATTCTCAACATGCTCAATAAGAAGCAAAAAAAAAAAAAAAAAATTGAATGTTTTATATAAAATTTGTAGTGATTTATTTTGGACAATTATTTTTGTTCTTAGATTTGAAATGTAAAGAAATTTTCTTTAATTCCGAAATGTTTAGGAAAATATTTCAGACATGTTCACTTCAGTAATATTGATGTGTTGATTTTAGGTTGGTGACGTCAAAAGAGGAGAAACTGTGTTAGTCACAGGTAATGGATAACATTGTGTAATTTCAACCACTGCTTAAATTTCAATGAAATAGTTTGTTCCATAGTTAGTTTTCAAAATATGTTAAATTTGAAGGCATTGAATTTATCCAAGGTGCTTGAGGCTGATTTACTGATTAGTCAAGGCAGGTTACAAATGTACATGCATTCATAGGCATGTACATGTATACTGAAAAAGTGTTTTTTATCAAATGATGAACTACAGATTTGATGAATGATTTATTAACTTTTTTGAATATAATGATTCCCACTCTTGTTTTGTTTTTGACCAGAAATTCTTTATAATTGTAAAAGTCATATTGCTTCAGTTTCAGCTTCAGTCATTTTTTAGCTCACCTCAACGAAGTTGGGGGAGCTTATGTAATACCCTCGGCGTCGGCGTCGGTGTCGGCGTCGGCGTCCCGGGTTAAGGTTAAGTTTTTTTGAGCAGTTTTCTTTTTAAGTACTTCTATGTCCTATATTGATTAGACATGCATGGAAGATGTTTCTAGTGTGTTTCATTGTACCAGTCAAAGTTTCAGATGCTGCAATTTCAGCAAAGGAATGACCAGGTTAATGTTTTTGGAGCAGGTTAACATTTTTGGTGCAGTTTTTGGTGTGGGTTTCATTTCCAAGTAACTAAAAGCCCTATGTTGACCAAACTTGCATTGATGATACATCTAAGGATGCATACTACCGGGCTTGCTTCGGATGCTGAATCTGACCTACATTTTTCGGTTGAGTGAACAGGTTAAAGTTTTTGGTGTAGGTTTCATTTCCAAGTAACTATAAGCCCTATGTTGACCAAACTTGCATGGATGATACATCTAAGGATGCATACTACCGGGCTTGCTTCGGATGCTGAATCTGACCTACATTTTCCGGTTGAGTGAACAGGTTAAAGTTTTTGGTGCAGGTTTCATTTCCAAATAACTATAAGCCCTATGTTGACCAAACTTGCATGGATGATACATAAGGATGCATACTACCGGGCTTGCTTCGGATGCTGAATCTGACCTACATTTTCCAGTTGAGAGAACAGGTTAATGTTTTTGGTGAAGGTTTCATTTCCAAGTAACTATTAGCCCTATATTGACCAAACTTGCATGGATGATACATCTAAGGATGCATACTACTGGGCTTGCTTCGGATGCTGAATCTGACCTACATTTTCCAGTTGAGCGAACAGGTTAATGTTTTTGGTGCAAGTTTCATTTGCAAGTAACTTTAAGCCCTATGTTGACCAAACTTGTATGGATGATACATCTAAGGATGCACACTACCAGGCTTGCTTCGGATGCTGAATCTGACCTACATTTTCCGGTTGAGTGAATAGTTAAAAGTTTTTGGTGCAGGTTTCATTTCCAAGGAACTATGAGTTCTTTAATGACCAGTCTTGCATAGATGATACATCTAAGGATGCATACTTCCAGGCTTGCTTCGGATGCTGAATCTGACCTACTTTTTGTGGATGAGTGAAAATGTTAGTTTTGATGCATGTTTCATTTCCAATAAACTATGAGCCCTATAATGAGCAAACTTGTATGGATGATACATCTAAGGATGCACACTAATGGACTTTTCGGATGCTGAATTGGACATACATTTTTCAGATAATAGACAAGGTAAAAGTTATGGTTGCAGGTCTATTACCAAAAACTATAAGGCTTATATAACATTGTATAAACCAAACTTGCACAAATGCTGCATCAAGAGATGAAAACTCTCAAATTTGCTTCAGATGCTGGATTTTCATTACATTTTCATGAAGAAGAAGTAGTTTAAATTTTTTATGTAGGTCTATTTCAAAGTATCAGATCAAAATTGCTTTTAAAAATATTTTCATTTTTGGAATGTATACTTTTTGTTGGTTAATTGTGTGACTTTGCCTTACTTAAAGACAACATTCGTTGAGGTGAGCTCTGTAATCTCTGATTACCTATGTTTATTCAGCTGATTTACAGTTTAAATTTGTTTGGGAAAAAATTAAAAAATCAAATTTTTACGAATTTCAAGGGCAAAAACAAAATCTGATAAAATTCATTAGATTTCTTGGGTGAGGAAGATTCTTCTTGAATATTGTCACATTCTGCTAAAACAATGTATGCTCATGGAAATGAAATTTTTAACAAAGTTACATGAAGTTTGAATGAGGGGTATTTTCTAGTTAGTAGTTACCCTATTCTTTATTTTATGCAGTAGTCTGTTCTTTTTTAGCTGCAGCAGGGGGCACTGGAATGCTAGCAGTAAGTTTTCTTATGATTCTTCAATCAAATCATACTGTTCAATTTGGAAAAAAAAATTATTCGAAAAATCTTATTATTTATTACATGTATATTTAAATTTTGCAATTGATTTTTTATGTAAACTTTCAACAAATATTGATCAAGGACTAATTTCTGATATACAGACATACAGGTACATGGAATTCTAAGGAAATATTATTGGAATACATGTAATTTGCATCTTCAATTGTCCTTTGACTTCAATCTGAAACATCAAAACTGACCAACATTAGTATAACTGTTATATTTTTGGTATTATACAATTGTGTAGATTTTCAAGCTAATTACAACTACTGGTACATGCACAATGTTTTGATTATTCAGGTACAGTGGGCCAAGTTAGCAGGATGTCATGTTATAGGAACTTGTTCAACTGATGCTAAAGTAGAATTTCTGAAGGTAAAACAAATATTGAACTTTATCCATTGTCTAACTATATGTACTTCAGAGGGAAGATGTACTAATAAGTTGTGGCATATGCCCATGATTTTCAATGTTTAAAAAACAGTCATGTTCAATTTGTGAACAAAGTATTTTGGGCAAAGTTCTAATTATTAAAAGGTTTACATTATAGATGTATCAAAAATACCTTTCTGTGAAAAAAAATTTGCTTACCAGAAATTAGCCTTTGTTTAAAAAAAATTACATATTTTGTTGGTTATAAGCCCATGCAAAAACATTTCTAGATATAGATATTTTTCATTGTAATGGAACCACTTAACCAAACAACTCATAGCATATGATTTAATTCCTCTCTTAGAAAATTTGAATTATCTTAACAATCTTGAAATTATAGCTGATTATGGATATTTATCATAAAACAACCATTTATGCGAACTTAAATATGTACACAAAATGTTGTTATGTTTGATATTTAATTTTTTCTTTTTTTTTCCACCTTAAAAGCAATTCTAAAAGACTTGTATTTCTTACTGCTCAACATGTAAATTAATTTGAACATGGAAATTAATTTTCAGAAAATTGGTTGCGATCGTCCCATCAATTATAAAAAGGAAAGTTTGAAAGAAGTTCTGAAATCAGAGTATAAGGTATGTGCCCTTATCTGTGAATAAAATGTGTTGTTTTTTTCCAGTTCATACATATTCTGGACATGTGGTAACTTTGTTTAAAAATAAAGTGGAAGTATTATAATTGATAAAATTTTATCAAGTAAATATTATTTGGGGTTGGAGAAGAACACTTTTGTTGCTATTACAATAAAGAAAGTTTCCTATTATTTAAATTGACCACCCCCCCTCTCCAAAAATAATCTGTATGATTTGAGTAAAGGAGAGGTACATGATTATCAATATTGATGGCTGACTTATTTCACATGAACTATTGCACAGATCAGAATAGAGTTTTCTTTTAGAAATGTTCAGAACTGTAATAGTGTTGATAAGCACAATTGTTTTCGTCTTCAAAATTAAAAATAAAAAAAGTCACATGTATTTTTAATAGCTTTATTCTATTTCAGAATGGTATCGATGTAATATATGAGTCCATTGGAGGAGAGATATTTGATACCTGTGTTAATAGGTATGTTGATCTTCTATGAAAACTAGCATTGTGGATTTTGTGGCAAAACAATTCTTTACACATTTTTTTAAACATTGCAGCTTGGCTTTGAAGGGGCGTTTAATTGTGATAGGATTCATTGAGGGTTACCAATCAGATCTGGGCTTCAAACCTTCCAGAACAATGGCCACGATACCTGTTAAGGTAAATTCCTGCCTGAAAGTAAATAAATATTCCACAACAATTCTGTTGGTGTGTAGAAGGGGGAGGGAGACTTAACAGAGTTTGTGTAAGGTAATGTCACTCATCATATCTTGAAATCTCCATTGAGATATTGTGCCTTCACCCTTATCATAAACATATTATATTAATATTCTTTGAAATGATACAGTTAGTAAATTTATAGTCATAAAAATAAAGGAATTTTAAGATAGAATTCCATGAAAATATATAAGCTATAGTAAAACACATACAGAATAAAAGAAAAAAACTAGAATTCAACTTTAAATTCCTTATTAAAACTTGATTACTGCAAGTTCAAACAGCATTCAGTAGCTAGATTTTCCATTTGATAAGGTATGTCACTCATCATATCTTGAGAAAGTTTTTTTTCACATAGAGATGATATTTTCAACGTTAACATTGACAATTAAAATTAAACTTTGAAGGTATATCTGAACTACCCACAAGAAATGTTTAAAGATATTGATATTCGAAATATCAAAATTCAGCAGTTATATGTATTAAACATTAATTCAACCAGGTTTTTATTCCCAGTTGTCCACCATGTACTTGTATTTTAACTCAGATAAAGAATTTATCATTCTGAAAATCAAATTTAGCTAAATATTATACAATGTTGTAGTAATTAAATGCTGAGCATTAAAGTGGTCATTATTGAATCAATCTATTGAATATTCATTTATTACAGCTCCTCAATAAATCAGCAAGTATTAGAGGGTTCTTTCTGGAACATTTCATGTCTGATATTCCATCTTATATCAGTAAAATGATCAAGTTACAACAAGAGGGCAAACTCCAGAGCTTTGTGGATTTGGGTGAAAACACAGAAAAGGGACCCTTCAAAGGCTTAGAAAGTGTAGCTGATGCAGTTGAGGTATTTAAAAAAATTAATTTAATAAGTTAAACATTCACTATCAACCCAGGCCAAAGTGCCAGTGTGCTTGATCTAAATGAACATAACATGCAGTTTATTGCTAAATGAACATCTGTAGACGAGAACATCAGAAACAGTTTGAAAATTTGTACACATATTATTCACCATATGAAGTTGTGCACCTGATATTTTCATCTTGATTCGATTATTATTTTGAATTTTACAAGTGTTTTTTTCATTTTTATCCACCGTTTCTCAGAAACTATTGCAAGGATTAATCTGAAAATTTGTACACTTATTATTCACCAGATGAAGGTGTGCACCTGGAATTTTCAACTCTTTTTGTTAATTTTTTTGCATTTTACAGGTTTTATTTTTTATTTTAATTGACTTGTTCATTTTGGGTTCATGTATAAAGATATAGAATCTAGAATATCTTTCAAAAAATATAAAATACTCATAAAAACTTTAAAAAAAAGAAACATCATCAAGTGTTAAAAACAGTTTTTACATTGCACAGAAGATAATATAATTTCATTTGTCTCTTGGGAATAATGATTGGACATGCATCCAGTTAAAGATAAATTAATGAGTTTGGTGTTGGAAGTTGTTAAGGCATATCTCTTATCAAGCGTGTGTGTTATCTAATCTCCAGGGAATAAGGCACAAAATTAAAGATCTCTCTTCTCTTATCTCTTAATTGTAATTTATTGTCTGTCAAAGCACTTCATTACTGGATGACCAGCTCTTTATTTTCAAAATGCATTTCAAATTGATATATCAAGATTATATTTGTATTATGTTTTTTTTTTAACAATCAGTTTGCAGAGTGACATAACACATAATTGCAATATATTTTTTTAATGCAGAAATAAAAAAAAAATAAAATGAAAAAATAAAAAAAAATGTTACAGTGGAATTACAATGTATTAGTATTGATGTTTCATTTGGTTGCACCTTTGTTTCATTCATTAAGAAACATGATGAGCAATTATATTTCACTGCAAATTTTTGTAAGTAAATTGTGAACACCTCTAGATCCATAAAGTATTTTTGAATTGGCACCTTCTCTGAAAAACCCAGCGGGGGGTATTTGTCCCTATTGGACAGTTCTAGTTATATTTGAGATAAAGATCTTTGGAAGGATCAGTCTCAACATGTTCTGTTGCAAAACAGAATGTGTAACATAAGATCCATGGATTATAAAGTTCAAATATTTCAAAAATATATATTACATATTATGGAAATCAACTGTATAGTGTAAAAGTTGTGTTTCTTTGTCAATTTTTCTATTTGACCTTTTGTGTAAAACTTTCATAGAATAAACTACAGGTACTGTGTGCACTGAGTTCACTAAATTATAACCCTGTTTCCCAAATGCTTTTAATGGCAAAGTCTATGTTTTGCTCTGGGAGACCCAAAATAAGTGTCAGGTCAAAAAGTAAAATAGGGGGTGTGCAATGGCATTATGTAATAAATTATCTGTGAAAGCATCATTAAATTTTATTCAGTGGTATAGGAGGAGTTGCGGATTTAGAGATGGGTATCCTTCAATATTATAAAAAAAATAGCAGTGTCCATGTTTTGCTATTGGAAACCAAAAATACATGTATGTGTCAGATCAAAAAATACAATAGGAGGTGCACAAGTGCACCGGTAACAACGATTCTGTGAAAGCCTCATCTGATTTCATCCAGTGGTGTAAGGGGGGCTGCTCATCAGATGTCAAGAGAATTTCTTTTCTTAAAACTTTATTGAAATCCATTATAACTTGACTTTTAAAGTTATTAGTGAACAAAGAGGTAAATCTTGGACCATTATAACCAGTGAAAATCAAACTTCTTTTAAAAAATACTCAGAAGTGTTTATGAAGAAACAAATCATATTGAAAAAAAGGCATATTAAAAATGGAAATTTACGTTTATCTTTCAATTCTTTTTAGTTATAGCAGTAAGTGCTAAATATTTCTAAATTGCATTCTAGTGGACAGACAAATATTTTATTTTGATTGATAATGTCTGTGTTTGCATTGTTTTGAATATATTGATTTTGATGAATCTCTTTCTATGAAAGTGCATATTACAAAAGATCAGTATTTTATCGGACACGCCTAATTTGAACATTAACTATTACTCAAAAGACAAATTGTCAATCTGCTCTAGCTATTGATTTTGATTGGTAATGTTAAGCCAAACAAATTTGTATTTCCATCGATGTGTCTGCATATCCTGATTAAAAAATGAATTTTTTAAACCAGAAATAGATTGAATCAGAAAACCACAATTTGTGGAATTCATTGGTACCCTTCATTCACATTCACAATTTTCATCCTCCATAATGTAAGATGTATACATTCTGTACATGTATACAAAAAGGTTTCGAAGTCATATTTTCTTTTGTAGAACACAAAATTTTGTCCCCACATATCTGTGAAATTGGAGCAAACCACAAAAATTGCCCCACATAATAGTAATTTGATGATTAGAGACACCCATTAATGAAAACAATTTTAGTAGCAACTTAACCCAGTCTTGTTAATTAGAAGTATAGTTTTGAAAAAATCTGCTTTAATGAATTTATTTTTGTCAAGTTGAAAATAGGAATCTTCATATTTTTTTCGCCAGATCCAGAACATATTTTTTTCTTATATTATTTTAAAAAAAGAAGATTAAATACTAGGAGGTATTTAGCTAGGGTATGACCTACCCCAGTACTTCGAGAAACAATTTTCATGTCTTATTCATTAACGGTATCTTTTTGCTTCATTAATATTTCTGATGCTATCTTAATTGTATTGTTTACTTTCATACTAATTGTGAAACAGAAAAATCATGCATTCTGATAGTTAGATACATGTAATACCAATTTACACAATATAACTACGCAGGAACATCAAAGCAGTGTCCAAATAAACATATTAATGTCATGAAGATACTACATGCAAAGGTTAAATTAGTTGCAGAGTTAGAGATAAATTGAAGCTTTTTGTAGAAAAGTAGTCTTTATTGGTTTACAAAATAGGGGAAATTGATGAGCTCTCTTTTATTATCCATTTTTTAACTTGACTTTGAAACCTGTATGTTCTACATCTTATATAAAATTAAAGGTAGTTTGACCCTGAATTCAACTTCAGAAAAGCTTTATGAAGCACCTTGAAGTTCATTTTTGGCTTATTTAACCAAAATAGTGACCTTTTTTGACTAAAGAATTTCTTTCCAGGGAACCACTGCAAACCAGATCTCATACTCTTTCCCGGAGTACTAAATTTTGATCATTTTCAAATGATCAATCTTGCAACGCATGTGTCTTTGACTTAAGCTTTTTAACCTTTACATTTAATGCACTGAGCTTGAAAGCAGATTACAAGTTAAGTTTTTTCTTGAAGAAAGCAATGAAACAGTTTTTGATTTTCAAAATAAACAGTTTTTGCATAGCATGTTTGAATGAAATGCACTCAAAGTTCATAAATGTATTTTCATAAAGCAAACTGTCCTCAATACTTTTCATGCTTTTGTTCATCAATGAACTTGTAAAGTTTATACCCAAATGAATCAATGAATTACGTACATCTAATAAATTGACTCTGGCATTTAGATATCAGTTGCTATTTAATTTGTACAAGATGAGAACATTTTTTAGCTCTACTGGTCAGAGACCAGAAGAGCTTATGCGATAGTAATGCGTCCGGCGTCCGTCCGTCTGTCTGTCTAGCTGTCCGTCTGTCTGTAAACAATTTTTCAAAACGCTACTCCTCCTACAATTTTAGTCTGATTTCAGTATTACTTGGCACACAAGTAGACTACACTAAGATACATAGAATAGTGCATCGGATTTTAATTTCTATGAACGGTGTTGCCATAGTGACTAAAAATAGAATTTTCTGTGAAATTCCTTAAAAACGCTACTCCTTCTACAGTTTTGGTCTGATTTCAATATAACTTGGCACACAAGTAGACTACACTAAGATACAAAGAATAGTGCATCGGTTTTTGATTTCGATGAACGGTGTTGCCATGGTTACTAAAAATAGAATTTTCTGTGAAATTCCTGAAAAATGCTACTCTTTCTACAGTTTTGGTCTGATTTCAATATAATATGGCACACAAGTAGACTACACTAAGATACATAGAATAGTGCATCGGTTTTTGATTTCGATGAATGGTGTTGCCATGGTTACTAAAAATAGAATTTTCTGTGAAATTCCTTTAAAACGCTACTCCTTCTACAGTTTTGGTCTGATTACAATATAACTTGGCACACATGTAGACTACACTAAGATACATAGAATAGTGCATCGGTTTTTGATTTCAATCAACGGTGTTGCCATGGTTACTAAAAATAGAATTTTCTGTGAAATTCTTTTAAAACGCTACTCCTTCTACAGTTTTAGTTTGATTTCAAAATAAGTTGGCACACAAGTAGACTACACAAAGATACATAAAATAGTGCAATGGTTTTTAGCTTACCTGAGCCGAAGGCTCAAGTGAGCTTTTCTGATCAAAATTTGTCCGTCGTCTGTCGTTGTCATTGTCGTTGGCGTTGTTGTCGTTGGCGTTGTCGTTGTCGTAAACTTTCCACATTTTCATCTTCTTCTCAAGAACCACTGGGCCAATTTCAACCAAACTTGGCACAAAGTATCCTTGGGTGAAGGGGATTGAAGATTGTACAAATGAAGGGCCACGCCCTCTTCCAAGGGGAGATAATTATGATTTAGTGAAAAATTAATAGCATTTTTAAAAAATCTTCTTCTCAAGAACCACTGGGCCAGGAAAGATGAAACTCATGTGGAATCATCCTCAGGTAGTGTAGATTCAAGTTTGTTCAAATCATGACCCCCAGGGCTAGGGCGGGGCCAAAATGGCCGACCAAAGTTTTACATAGGAATATATAGGAAAAATCTTTAAAAATCTTCTTCTTAAGAACCACTGGGCCAGGAAAGATGAAACTCATGTGGAATCATCCTCAGGTATGTAGATTCAAGTTTGTTCAAATCATGACCCCCGGGGCTAGGGCAGGGCCAAAATTCAAAGTTTTACATAGGAATATATAGGAAAAATCTTTAAAAATCTTCTTCTTAAGAACCACTGGGCCAGGAAACATGAAACTCATGTGGAATCATTTTTGTAGATTCAAGTTTGTTCAAACCCCCCGGGGCTAGGGCGGGGCCAAAATGACCAAAGTTTTACATAGGAATATATAGGAAAAATCTTTAAAAATCTTCTTCTTAAGAACCACTGGGCCAGGAAAGATGAAACTCATGTGGAATCATCCTCAGGTAGTGTGGATTCAAGTTTGTTCAAATCATGACCCCCGGGGCTAGGGTGGGGCCAAAATTTGACCAAAGTTTTACATAGGAATATATAGGAAAAATCTTTAAAAATCTTCTTCTTAAGAACCACTGGGTCAGGAAAGATGAAACTCATGTGGAATCATCCTCAGGTAGTGTGGATTCAAGTTTGTTCAAATCATGACCCCTGGGGCTAGGGCGGGGCCAAAATGGCCAACCAAAGTTTTACTTAGGAATATATAGGAAAAATCTTTTAAAAATATTCTTCTTAAGAATCATTGAGAAAGGAAAGATGAAACTTAGATGAAATTATCCTCAGGTAGTGTAGATTCAAGTTTGTTCAAATCATGACCCCTGGGGCTAGGGTGGGGCCAAAATGGCTGACCAAGGTTTTACATAGGAATATATAGGAAAAACTTTAAAAATCTTCTTCTCAAGAACCTTTGGGCCAGGAAAGACGAAATTTATGTGGAATCATCCTCAGTTAGTGAAGATTCAAGCTTGTTCAAATCATGACCTCTGGGGCTAGTTTTGGGCCCAAAATGGCTGACCAAAGTTGTACATAAGGATATATAGGGAAACCTTTTAAAAAATTTCATGTACTTCAAAGCCATAATTAGTGATATTTTTCTTTTTATATGGAATCATCCTCAAATAGTGTAGTTTGTAAATTGTTAAAATCATGACACCCAGGTGGGTTAAAATTCAATATCCCCCCCCCCCCCCCCGGTAAACTTTCAGTTTTGATCTGATATGTGCTTTTTCGTAGTAGATGTGCTCAGGTGAGCGATGTGGCCCTTGGGCCTCTTGTTGATAAGTACAAACCAGTAGAGCTACAGTCTCGACAGAGACTTCTGGTTTCCCACAGGATTCAAACTGAGGTGTAAAAAGTAGCAGTGCTTTAATTGATGAACTAAACCTTGTTCATTTCAGCTTAACCCTGTGATGAATAGATCAGCTGCTCCAAACTTATTTTGTTCAAACCCACATTTTAAAAGAAATTTTGTTATTTACATCCAACCTTGAACCGCATTATTATTTCTCAATGATATACCTACCCCTTTTTAGAGGACAGACGGCTACCTTATTTCTTTCCATAAAATTCCTGTAAGATTTGCAATTATTTTTAGAAATGTTGATTTTGATTATGGTTCATAGATCCACAGGGAGACTAACAATAGTCATAAAATCTTCATGGTAGGCTATGCCATGCAGTTGGGTAATATTAGGTTCTGGAATTTTGTTCTTTGTCTCAGGACTTTTCAGGCTTAAAGACTTTGAGTTTTAGTAATCTTCGTGGCTGAAAGAAATTTATTTAAAAAAAAAATAGAGGTACTGTGAGCACTGAGCTCACTAAATGATACCCCATCTCCCATATGATTATAATGGTAATAAAGAACCCTTGAAGGTATCATGAAATTTTATTCAGTGGTACATGTAAATAAGGAAATGCGGATAAGAGATGGGTACCCTTCAATATTAAAAAGAATGTTTTGCTTTGGGAAACACAAAATATGTGTCGTATCAATTAGTAAAGTAGGAGGTGCACAATGGCACTATGTAACAAAGATTCTATGAAAGTCATTAATTTTCATTCAGTGAATCTTAGAGGCGGATAAGATCTAGAGATGGATACCCCAAAGCGTAATACGAGGGTTGATCCAAAAGTAATGTCACAACTTCAATAAAATCGCTACAGTCAACATAAAACAAAAAAATTATTAATGATGAAAGCTACATTTATTTCAAATCAGACATGAAAATTTCAATTCACCATGATTTATACTTTTCAAAATATCGGATTATATACAACGTGCGATTATGGTAGTCGCCGCACCTAAATAACGTCATATGAAGGATACGCGCCGTCATACATTGAAACGCTTCATGTCGTTTCATTAAAAATATTTGAGATTCACGAACGAGTTCACAAATTTCTCTCTAATTCCTAAAGAAGACGTGGTACTTATCGTACACTCACTCTTTTCATGATTTGTTCCTCTGTCGAAATTCTTTGATCAATAGTAAAAGACCAACTTAAAGTTTCACCTATCGCTCTGTCTTTTTTGACAACGTCACACACCATTGAACGTTTCCGTCTGCCCTCGTATCTTTCGGTCTTCTTGTCATCTACTGAGCATTCAATGACCCATCACCAACCCAAAATCGCTGAACCATCTAAACAAGTCTTTTTTTTCTACATTCTTTCCCCTGTGAGTCTATTAAATCAACTTTACTGTCTCTACTGGCAATTTCTCCATTTTGAAGCAAAAATGCATGACAGTTTATAGTTGCTTTTTTTTTTCCATTTCGACATTTCCTTTTTTCGATGCGTCGGAGTGAAACAGCGATATTTTTTTAATTAAAAATAGCAATGATGTCATATAATTTTCAACTTATGATTAGAAAATGATGTAAATGTTTGTCTTTTAAAATATTGGGGGATTAGGCGCTTTTAAAAGTTCTTTTAAATGATTTTGTCTTTTTTATTCTAAAAAAAAATACACTTTCATATGTGACGTTCGGTTGTGACGCGGCGACACCCCCTATGTTGTATGTTTTAAACACCCTTAAAATAAATTCAGTTAAATATTATTAAATGAAAAATGAAAGATTAATAAGATTTATAATTGTGCATATTTTGGTATATTATATTTGATAATATGACACCTAATATAAAAGATATGGACACAGTGACATTACTTTTGGATCAACCCTCGTAGACGGACGGACATCCCGATCACTATATGCCTTCCCACTTTTCAAGCAGGGGTATAAAAAGATGTTTAGGATACCGCAGACGATTTTGAAATGGGTGATCAATAATTGCTGTATTCTTAATAGAATTAATTAATCTTTGCTGATCAAGTTGCAAAGTAATTATAATAGAGATGCAATTTTGATTATGAATCATACTTTGGATGATGCAGGTGACCTATATAGTGAAGAAAATTTTTGGAATAGTTCCTTTCGCAAATGAATACTTGTAGAATTTCAGACGGACCTTCTTTGACCAATTTTGCAATATTAGTGCATCTAGAAATGTATTTTCCGTCATTCTTTCAGTGATGATTCATGGTCTTTAATTTTTCTCAATAAGTGTTCAGTTTAATATTTTGAAGCAGATTGAATTTTAATATAACTTAAATAAAAGTTTCTTGGCCTTGAAAAGTTTAACAGAGTGTTTTAAAACAGTACATTGAAGTACATGTAATTTACACGAGTATTAATAAACGCGAAATGAATCCGAGATATCAGATCGCTTTAGAACAATGATTTGTGAATCGTCAGTTGATAGAAAAGATTTTACATGGATTCCAGCACCATTAAACAGCTAGTTATTATACCCCTTCCCCGTTTGAAAAATGGGAGGGTATATACTGTAAATCACTTTTTATTCGCGAGAACTTTATTTTCGCGTAAATACGCGAAACAGTATGCTCGCAAAAATTTCTTAAGATTATACAGAGCAATGACCACAATTCGTGAAAATTTTGTCTCGCTAATAAAGAGTCAGTGACTATATCGCGAAAATAAGATGTGACCTACAGTATTGCAAGATCGGGATGTCTGTACGTCAGTTCGTCCTTCCATCCGTCTGTCTGTTACGCATTGGGGTACCCGTCTATTATACGCAACTCCACTTATACTACGGGATGAAATTTAATGAGACTTTCACAGAATCTTTGTTACATATTGGCATGTTTTTTCTATGACTGGCCCGATAATTCTGCTTATCCTGATTAAAGCATAGCCTCCCATTTTTCAAGCGGGATGTGTAATGAATAGCTACTGGCAATTAAGTAATGGTAAATGATTTTCTTTGTGTCTTTATATTGGAGAACTAGATAATTATAGTATGTCCTTGTTTTTGCAGTACCTCTACACACAGAAGAGCATCGGTAAAATCATTGTTAGTTTGAATGGAGGATCCACCAGCAAATTATGAACAGTTTTAATTGGTATTTGGCATCCTTAAACGCACTTATGTACCTAATGTGTTGTAGACAAGTTGCCATACTTTAATAAGCTAGTCATCGGAGACGATGGAAAAAAAGGAAATGGCAAATATGGAATATTTGAATACACAAATCAATGATCAGCGTGCTTGCTCGTTACTAATGATTAATAAATACCAATGCCCAAGGTCACCTACCAAGAGTTACACGGGATTATAAATTATTGTTAGCTTCAAGTAGAAAAAAAATTGAGTGTACTAATTATTTTCCTTCACATTGATTCTTTGACGAATTATGTTGTTAAACAGAATAAAGATGATGATATGAAAACAGAAATAATAAGCAATTATATATTCTAGTGTTTTGTGTGCTTTCTAATGATGATGATGTTAATGTAAAAAAAAAAAAATTGAGGAGAGCTTTATTAACGATGTACGAAAAAATACCATTGCTTGTTCAACAAGGATTTATTCAGAAATATTTATTATTGTTGAAAAAGCATTTGCCAGGCTTCATGGTGTGCACCTGATACCATTCTGACAAGCTGGTGCAACAGGCTAAGCGTTCAAGTGTCTGTGTCACGTGAGATTTGTTTAAAATTCTTTTGATACTGGAGTTTTTTGCAATTTTGTTTTGTCTGTGCTAAGAACTTTTAAATGATTAAAAATTGACTTGATCCCTTCTAAGGAGATTTCAGCTTTTAATTACTAAATTTTTAATTACAACTGATGTTCAGAGGGATCAAAATTGGTTTCTGATACACGATGTCTCAAAGCCTAAGTTAACATGGTTAAGTTTTTCAAATGTAGGACAAACTCAAAGGTCCAGAGTTCAAAAGTATTGATACCCTTAGAAAGATAAAAAAAAAAATACACATTTGAAATGTAATAGCCCTAGTATCAACCATTCAAAAAAAATAAAGGCAAGGTTTAAGATTTTTCAAAAAGTAGATCATACTCAAAAGTCAATGACTTAAGGACAAAAAAGATGGAAAAGCCTTGAAACTAGGAATACATCTAGTGGGTAAAATATGAGAGATCCTAGAAGCAATCGTTCAGTAATGTAGCCATGGTCAATTTTTTTTACATGTAGGATAGACCATAAATCAAGGTTAAATAAATATTCAAAGAGAGATTTTGTCCTGTTACCCCTTTTGAGAAATAAAAGTTAAGGCACCAAGTCCATCAAAAAAATTCAAAGGTAGGTCAAACTTAAGGTCAAGGTAGAAAGGAAATAAATGTAAGAACCCAAAGAAAATCTAGAAACGTGGAATACATTTATGACATATACAAGACCTATCTTCAATATAGAAGTGATGACCAAGATTATAGTTTGATAATTCTGCTGAAAAAGTGTCAAATTCCAAGGTATATACAAAATTATGTTATTTTTAAAGCCCTAGCTCCAACATTTATAATTATGACCACAGTTAAAGATGTTTAATGAGTATATACAAAATTATGTTATTTTTAAAGCCCTAGCTCCAACATTTATAATTATGACCACAGTTAAAGATGTTTAATAAGTGAAAAAGTGGGACAAACTCCAAGGTCTAGGCCAAAGGTCAATAAATTTTTTTGATTATTATTCTATTTTTTTTAAAAGGGTAGTTGTCATTACCTTTTGAATACATGTTCCTCTCCTATATTTCAATAAAACAAAATCAATATGGTAAGTGAGCACCAACCATTCAAAAGACATGTACTATATGACTATATGGTTTAATTTTTTGCGTACAAGGTAATTGACAAACAGATGGACGGAGACTTAAAATTACATCCTCCGAATTTTAGATTATAGAGACATTAAGTTTTGTCCTGAAAAACTTAAACATTGTCCATACCATTTGTTTTGTTGAAAGTATGACTTATATGTTAATCTAGCATCATGGTAGATCTGTCCCACTGTAATTGTTAAATATTGTTCAATAATATCAATTGTTATTTTTATTGATTATTATTAAACTATTTTTTTTAAATTAGGGATACTTCATTATTCTACCTTTTGGTATGGTTTCTTTCTGCAGCATGTTCCTCTCTTGAGCTATATTTCAATAAAACCAAAATCAATATGGTAAGTGAACAAAAAACTTACAGATGTATTTGCCTTTAAAAAGTCACATTAAAAGCTTTAACTGAATAGCTTGAAAGAAAGATCGATTGATTCAATTTGTAAATACCTATGGTAGAATCATAAAAATCTTATATCGTACCATTTTTATGCCCTCTTCAAAGAAGGATCGAGGGCATATTGCTTTGCTGCTGTCTGTAGGTCGGTCTGTCTGTCGGTCCACCATCAGTTTCCATTCATTTTCTTCGCAGACGTTGCACATATTGAAATGAAATTAAGTATGCAGATTTAACATAAGAATATCTAGGTCAAGTTTTGTTTTGGTACCATCGAGTCATTTTTGACAGAGTTATGTCCCTTGAACTTAGAAAAATCCCAAGGGGGCATAAGTGTTTTACAAACATATCTTGTTTGTTAAATATTTTAAAGAACACATACCCCTGACATGAGATATGAAATACATCTTAATGTTAGGTCGTTGTACTGAAGTTCGATGGTGTTATTTTTTATAACAAGAAGAATTTGACTTTAGTTTGTGCGGAAAACCATGTGAGCTTTACAAAAAGTGCACTGAGCTATATATTCAGAATAATAAAAAAAAGGTATGCTGCTCCTTTTTCCGTCAAATTGAAGTAAAATAAAGATGTTAAGAATTAGAAGTAAGTGAAAACTCTGAAATCAATACAAAGTGCAGTCTTTTCATTAAAAAATATGTTGAAACCAATGGAATTCTGATTAGATGATATTGATATCTTGGAAATACTTCTCTTCCTACATGTATTTCAGATTTTGTCAAGATTTTCTTAAAATTCATATATCAGAAGATGAGAATAAATTACACCAATCAGACACCAAGGTATTTAATTTTTTAAGAAAGACTTTTGATGTATATTTCTTCCCTTTGAGGGTTTTTGATAATAGGACAATGAAATAAAAAGTCCTGTTTCCATATATTTTATACCAATCAAATTAATAATTCATTTATTGCTTTGCACAGTTATTTCCGCGCTCAACTTTATATGAATTAATTCTGAAAAAGTAGCCATCATTATTCAGAAATTCGAAGATTACACACTTATGATGACTTTTCTACGAACATATGAATGCCTGATCATATTATTATTGAGGTAGAATGAATGGCAAAGAGAAATAAGGATTTATATGAATAAAAGTTATATAATCAAAGAATGAAACATGTGCATTTTGTTAATCGACCCTATCATTTAATTGTCAAAGTTACTAAGCTGCGTCACACAACCCATGGGAGAAATATTTCACAATACCGGTACAACCGTCCCCAATGAAACTTTGTAATTATGCCCTGAGGTCCTTCTTCCAATACCAAGATAAAGTTTAGGCTTGGATGCTTATCAGTAGAGAAAATGGAACTCACACACCCAGTGCAGGTTTTATAGTGTTATTTTTGAGCTGTGGTCTTTGTTTGTGCAATGAAGAACACATTATCTCAGAGGAATAGTTAAACATGTCACCCATCAGCGATTACTACAATTCGACATGTATGTATACGAGAAAACGACAATTATTTGAAATTCGTGCCTTTGAAATTTCCATTAGAAATATTATAGATTGATATTGAGCTATATTTGTAACCGATTAACTGGTATTGATAGCAAACAAATGACTTGCATTGCCCCAAGAAAATTTTACAGTAACCCTTTTTTGCAAAAAATGGTTTTATGCAGGTACAATTTTCATAATTCAAGTATCATACATATTTAAGAAAGCAATGGCAATCCTACAGTTATTCTAGATATTGCAGTAAGATTAAACATTTTAAATATCTTTTTCTTAAGAACCACAGACCAAGAAAGCTGAAACTGATGTGGAAGCTTTCTGAGATAATGTTAATTCTGAATTGTTCAAACATAACCCCCGAGGATAGGATGAAGCCACAATAGGGAATCAAAGTTTTGAATTGAAACATATCCAACAAATTAAAATCTTTAAATATCTTCTCAAGAAACACTGGGTCAGAAAAGCTGGAATGTATGTGGACATTTCCGAGCTAGGGTAGTTTAGATTCTAAATTACTCAAAATATGTTTGGATATACTTCGATTGGTAACTTAAAATCTATAGAATTGTTTATCTCTCTCATTTCTTTTATCAATTCTTTTAAATCTCCAACACTTATTAACTATGAAATTATACCACATTGTTTTGATCTATTTTCGATCACTTGTCTTTCATCAAAATTCTTTTTTAAAGTCAGCATTTTGCAAATACCAGCAAATATTTTCCTTCTCATGATCCTGTTTGCAAATACAACCAACCGTTGTGTTGTATTTCGTCTGACATGTTTCCTGCTAGGTCATTGTTTTTATATCCTTATTCTGAAAACGGTTAACTCAGTCTTCTTGATCATTACACAGTTTTCAAAACAGGTTTGACGGGTCAACAGGGGATGTGATCACCTGTAAGGTATCTGACCCCAGCTTCGGTGTTTCTAAGGATCCTTGCTTTGCCCTGTTCCCGATTCTTTTTCTACAGTGGATATATGAGATTGACCACTGTCTGTTATCTTCACCTCTTATGCTTGAAAAAAAGCACAGGCATCTTTTTTCTTCATTTTATTTCAAATCTTGGTGACCATTCATTTATAGAAATGAATCCATACACTAGGTTTGAAATGCTTTTGTAGACCACCATGATGAATAACTGAGCCTTTAAAAAGAAGGCCAGATATGTAATTCTCTTATAAGATTGCATTTTTCAATAAGCATAGTAAAACTAAGTTGATTAAAATAAATTTATACATATAATTCAGCCTCGTACTCGGGAAATACGCTATACAGATATCTCAATGTCAAAAAAGGGAGTATATTTAATCACATTTATAAGCGGATTAGAATACCATAAGATCAAACAGAAGTGAGAATAAGGGGCTCTTCATATCATAGCTCTTCAGAATTGTCCTCACAAGATATTAAAGCGCTTCCCTACGTTAATGATAGAGCTTCCATGGTTTAATCAACAAGGTTCATTTGCAATACGAAACCTACAATTGGTTCGCAAAAAGTATTATAGATATATACGAGAGTGTGTCGCTTTCGAGGAGTCACGTTATATTAATGAAATACTTTCACTGGAGTCAAATATCCGGTCAATTGAGTAACGGTATAATCTTTAAATTAATTTATTCATTTATATGTAAATTATACTTCTTAACATAATTGCCATATAATTAATAAGATTTTTTTATGGAAATGAAATCTTGCAATTTTAGTTATCAGAATGAAATATATATTTGGAGTAC